GGTTGAGAACATTCGTGTGGTTTAATGGTCACACTCTCTTGTAATAGATTTTTTATGTTAAATTTGGCAAATGAAATTTGAGACCCACCCCAACATTAAAAAAAAAAAAAAAAGTTTTTTCTATCTAACTTCTTGCATAAAAGCCCGTATTAAGTTCTGGCCCATGAATGCCAATGTTCTCCTCCACCTCTCTTTCTGACTCTGTAGAAGCATTTCTTACAGAAAAAACCAAAACCCTGTGAAAAAAATCGCTAGAAAGGAATTGAGCAACTCACTGAGTTGAGTTGAGTTGAGTTCGATTCGCATCAGATCGTTTAGAATGCCTCCTGTTGGTCCTCGATCCGGTGATGCGATCTTCGCCAACATTGAACGAGTGGTAAGAATTTCTAAAGAAATCTCGAAATTCTAGTTACTCTGTTTGGTTTCCGAGAAAAATATGAGAAGAAAAGGTAGTGAAGCAAGTGATGGCAGATAGTCTGAGGTGTTAATTCTTTTGTTTTGGAGAAAAATGCAGTAAACGCACCTCTATTTGTGTGGAATCTGATAATTTCGTTTGATTCCATTTCTTTTTTAAAATTTTATGCATTTTCTCACCAGCCAAACGAGAATTTTTTGATTAGATGTGGTGTATATATATATATATATACATATGTCAAATATATATTTTTTAACAGAGTTGTGTAAAAATTATAAGAAGAAACAAGTATGCTGCTCCTCTTGCTTTGTTTGTTTGCTAAAGAATCTGAAATGAAAACAATAATAGATAATTTTTCACGAGAAAAGCTTAAGGTTTTGTGTTGGTTGATGTCAAATTTGATCTAGATTTTTTTTTTTTTTGACAGTTGGTATTTGAAGTTATGTAATTTTATGATTTCTAGTATTTTGATGCTTTTTATTTTTTTGGGAAAACTAATGGAATATCTTGCTCTTATTGATGGTAAGTGTGTTTCTAATCTTTGAAATGGAATTGATGTAGAATGCGGAGTTATTTACCTTGACTTATGGAGCAATTGTGCGTCAATTGCTTACGGATCTAGAGGAGGTCGAGGAAGTCAACAAACAGCTTGATCAGATGTATACTTCAGACTCTATGCTCTTGGTTTTTAATTTTTAATGGTTATTGATGGTGTTTGTGCAATTCAAACTTGATGCTCTAGCGGCATATGTCATTCTTTAGGAGGTTCGATCTCTATCAGGTTGTTCTTTTAATGATGCAGTGATATCTCTTACAAATTGTTGAGAAATTACTTATGGAGATATAAAATTAGCTTAGCTATTTTTTGATTTATGTGTAACATTTAAATAATTGTGTCTGTGCCAGTGCACACATGCATATTTGCTTGTATATCACTCTATTCATCCTGACAGTGCTATCTTTCACCATGGTTCTACATCATGTGCGTTGATTTATCATCCCTGGACTATTTGTCCCACATAACAGAGTGGTCCAACCAATACTTGTAACATGATTTCAGAAGGTCTTAATTCTCTTTGACATTTCGTTGCAACATTTTCATTACCTAGGTTGAGTTTACAATTTCAAAATTAAACTACATTCATTCAACTACTTGATTACCTTGCAGGGGCTATAACATTGGCATTCGACTGATTGATGAGTTTCTAGCAAAATCTAGCGTGTCCAGGTGTGTTGACTTCAAGGAGACAGCAGAAGTGATTGCAAAGGTATATTATTATTATTATTATTCTTTTACTTTTTAAATGAACGTATTTGTTTTCTATGCAGCATTATGTATGGAAATATGGTTGGTTTGAGATAATTTTTGTGCAGAAGCTATTTTAATACCTCCTTAATTATCAAATGAACGAGTATGAAACAGGCCTTAATTTATGGTCTCTAATGAAGCTCTGTTACAGGTTGGTTTCAAGATGTTCTTGGGGGTCACTGCATCTGTGACAAATTGGGATGCTGATGGGACATGCTGCAGCATTGTTTTGGAGGACAATCCCCTAGTAGACTTTGTTGAGCTTCCTGATACATATCAAGGTCTCTACTATTGCAACATATTAAGTGGAGTCATCAGAGGAGCTCTGGAAATGGTGAGTTCCAGCCCTTTTATTAAACATCAATGAAATGGATGCTGCCTCACAAATTTGTAAATTGTGTCCTTTTTCATTTTCTCTGTGGTTGGCTCTACATCCTTCCATTTTGCAATAGAGTAGTTTATCATCACTCTTCTACATTCTCCTCCTACATTAATATTCTTACTTAAATAGATTAGATAATAAACTTGTTGTTTTACTTCTAGGACAAAGTTTGTTTTTAAATATCCATACCACCAGCAATACTGTGCCTTGGAAGTATTGTTTTATTAATTCCAATATTCCACATTTATCATGTTGAAATTGTTGACTTGGCAGTTATTTAGAAAACAAAGATCCTAAAGAATAGGATGCATATGTTGCTTGTATTTTCATATTGTCCCACTTCCAAGCACTGGGCATGATCCTGAAATCAATTTCATTATAATATATTCCCCCTTTTTTCAGGTATCAATGAAGACAGAAGTCACTTGGCTGCGTGATATGCTTCGAGGGGATGATGCCTATGAGTTGCAGGTGAAACTTCTGAAGCAAGTCCCGGAGGAGTATCCCTACAAGGATGACGAGTAACATCTCCCACCTTGCTCACACACTTCATGGTCCCTATCTGCTAATTTTTTTTCTTTAAAGAGTAGGAGTTTTAACTGCATGCTCACTGTTATCATTCGGTGCCAGAATGTTTTTCCTTTAATAAATTCTATTTTCTTTATACCCTGCTACATTTTCGCCTCTGGCCTGACCTCTTATTCTTTGCTTCATCAACCAATTCCGCCAGCACCCCCATCCTTCGCTTTCATAACAAAAATGGGATGTGTTTTAGGCCCAAAGAAATGGGTTTAGTGTATCCCGCTCAAGGGAGTCCATGTTCATCTTATGTGGACTCTGTGTTAAAAGTAAGGACCACTTTGGAAGCTGTTTTAAAGGTTGAAGACTCAATCCCCATTTACCCCCTGTTCTTGAACGGAACTAATAATTCCACCACATTAGTTTGCAATTTTTTTGGTTAGAAATTCTCAGAATAATGGACGAAAATGGGAAGGTATATTTCTAAGTTGATACATGATCTATTGATCACAAACCAGTTTTTGTGCATTCTAAATTAATTACTCTTTGAGCAATCTTAAGAATAGCTACACTCTTTGTTTTGTCTGCAGGAATCTTGTTTGCGTTGATTAACGCAAAACTAATTTGCTACAGTTTTCTTAATTTATTGAATGATTTTATATCAAAATGATACTAACTGAATAATCTATAAGGAAAATCTGACCATAAAAAAAAAAAAAAAAAAAAAAAGAAAGAGGAAGAAGAAGAAACTTCATGCGTAATTAATTAATTAATTTTGGCTTTAAAAATAAATAAAAAAATCCAGTTGAATAGGGACAAGGAGAAAAGAAGTCTCACATTTCACTGCGGATGGAAGGAACACGGGCTCTTCCTTAGAAATGGTAACGGGTTCCCGGACAAAAACTTATTTTTTAGTCCCTTACCTCATTAGAAGGTTTTAACCCCTTATCTTGCTAGATTTATAAGTTTTAGCCTTTCACCTATTAAAATCGAAAAAAATAACCTTTATTTTATACTGGTTATTAACTCTACTACTTGAAAATAGGTTTTTGTCAACTAACAGTCAATTAATAGTCAGTTAACAAAATTAACGAAATATTATAAAGTTAGTTCTGTTAACTCTATTAGTTGAAAGAAAATTTTTATAAGTTAACAGTTAACTAACAGTCAGTTAATAAAGTTAACAGTCAGTTAACAAAGTTAACAGTCAGTTAACAGAATTAATAAAATGTTACAAAGTAAGGATCATTTTCTTCAATTTTAATAGGTGAGATGCCAAAAGTATCATAATATAAGGTAATGGGTTCAAACCTACAAATCTAGTAAGATAGAGGATTAAAAGTGTCGTAATATAAAGTGAAGAGTTAAAATCTTTAAATTTGATAAGGTGAGGGGGTAAAAGTAAGCTTTTACCTGGTTCGGCGGCCAAAAGGGAATCCTGAACCATGTTAGAAAAATTAGCTATTTTAAAGTATTTTTTAAAGATAATTAATCAAATTAAATCATATCAAATAAGATGTAAATTGAGAAAAACTTAAATTTAGGACAAATTTACTAAATAAAGAGGTAAAGTTAACAGAGAAACTAAGGTAGTAGAGGGGAGAGATGTGAGTCAAAGTGTGGTTAAATTACTAAGTTTAAGAATTGGGACATTATAATTTATAAATATATAATTTATAATTTTTTTATTAATATATCAATCTCCGTAAAGACCTGTGGTGCGAGAGAAATTCCTCAAGTAACTGTACGAGGAAAAAATCACTTTTATCCCCACTCCATGGAGTAAAGGTACAAATAAGGATTCTAAATTTGCACTTTTTTTTATTTAAGGATGTTAATTTTGTCAATTTCTAAATAGAGATGTCAACTTTTAATTTTTTCTAAATAAGGATGTCAACTTTTAATTTTTTCTAAATAAGGATGTTAACTTTGTCAGTTTCTAAATAAAGATGTCAACTTTCAACATTTTTTATTTAAAAATGTTAACTTTCAACTTTTTCTATTTAAGGATTAATTGAATAGTGATGTTGACGTGGCTAACATATTTTTTTTAAGTTAAATATCTAAATTGGTCCCTCAACTTTTATTTTTGAACCAATTCATCCTTAAACTTCAGAAAGTACCAAAAACGTCCTTCAACTTCAATTTTCAATTTCGTCTTTCCGTCAGTTAAATGTTAATGTAGCTAATTTTTTTGCTAAGTGATTGACTATTTTACATTTTCAATATTATATGGAAAATCCATCATGTAAAAGATGATTATGTGGATTTTTTTAATTTTAAATAATTTACAAACTACTTTAATTCTTAATTTTACTTTATTTATATTTAAAAATTAAAACAATTAATATATTTTCTCATTTAATTAGTCCCACCTACCATTTAATAAAATTAAATAAAATTTAATTAATTCCTCCATGAATTAGGAAATAATTTTGTTAATTGAAAATTGAAGTTGAAGGATGTTTTTGGTACTTTATGAATTTCAAGGATGAATTGGTTCAAAAATAAAAGTTGAGGGACCAATTCAGGTATTTAACCTAAAAAATATATTAGCCACGTCGGCATCACTATTTAATTAATCCTTAAATAAAAAAAAATTGAAAGTTGACATCCTTAAATAGAAAAGGTTGAAAGTTAACATCATTATTCAGAAACTGACAAATTTAACATACTTATTTAGAAAAAATTGAAAGTTGACATTTTTATTTAGAAACTAATAAAATTAACATATTTAAATAAAAAAAAAAAGTATAAAGTTGAAATCCTTATTTGCATCTTTACTCCCACTCCATGAAAAGAAATATTATGAACATTTCTATCTTTAAAGAATCCCAATGAAGCACCGTCAAGCGTGGGTGAAATTGTCATCCCAACTCTTTCTCTAGGACCATATGTATGTTGTCCATTAAGTCGCCGAGCAAACATGTCAGATGAAGCAATTCAACCATTACGTGAATGACCTCGTGTTACACTTGCTAATTAATTAATTAAAAAACCCAATCTGATTTCTTTTCTTTTCAAATTTATGAGCCCTTCCTCTCTGCTTTCTCTTTATCATTCTCTCTCTCCTTCATCTTCAATCTGCAGCCTCTTCTTTCCCCCTTTCTTCTTCCTTCATCACTACAAAACCCAATTTGCCTCTTTACAAAATTTACTGAAACGTTTGGGTTTACTTTACAAAATTATAATAATTAATATTATAATTTAAATTTTATTATTTCTAACAAAATTTAACTTATTATTAAATATTAATATTTTTGATAAATAAATTCTTTCAAAATTTAATTTAATTTAATGAGTATCCGCACATAATTAAAATTACTTGAAAAAATAAAAATTCATTTCAATTTTATAAATCCCCAAATTAAAATCATGCATGTATTATTGGTGTTAAAAAAAATAAAATTTTTATTTTTCTATACCAATTAGTGAAAAAATATGTAATTTAATAATAGTATTAAGTTTTTTAAGAAATAATAAAATTTAAATTATAATATTGATTATTGTAAATTAAAATTAAAATCTTAATTAATGTAAATTGAAATTTTATCTTAATTAATTATTACATTTGACAAAAAAATTTAAATTTCGAAAACATAATGTTGTGAAAAATAAAAATATATATATTATATTTAATATTTCTTAAAAGTTTAGGGGACAGCTTGGCTACACCAACTCCCCTTGGTTAGTCTAGGGAACTGAATGTTTATCACAGTAGATCATTTTAAAATAAAGTTGATAATTTATAGATCATTTTGAAAGAAAATATTATTTTTAGACTAAATTTAAATAAATTATATAGTTAATAGATTATTTATTAAATTTAACCTTGATAAAATATAGCATATAAGTCTTATTTAAATCTTATATTTTTTTTTAGTCTTGATTTTCACTTTTCTATATTAGGATTATTCATTAAAAAATATATATTTTTTAGTATTATTAAAAAAATAAAATTGAACTAACACAAAATATGTTTTATTGAGCTAACGACTTAAATAATTCAATTATATGGTAATTTTTTTCACTAAAAATAAAAAATTTTAAATTCAAACCACATGATATGCATGTCAAGATATAAAAATATTATATTTTATTATGCAATCAACATAATATATATATATATATATATGTCTTATTCGTAATTTAACAATTCAACAAGAACACCCACCAGCTATGTATGTATCCAAACACGGCACTCTCTTAACAACAACAGGATCTGCCATTCACCATTAGGCATCAATTGTACTGCAATCTAATAGCTAAACCAAACAGGTCTTAAATAGGAAAGTAACGAAAATAAAAATCCTAATAAAAATAGGAAAACTAGCATAAAAGCAATCGATAACGAAGTAGCAACAGCCTCCTGCTCCCTCGTCTCATCGTTCTTAATGACTTGAGATATCCAAGCCCCCAGAATCTAAGACAGAAGAAAAGACGTTGTTACGTTGTTTAGAAAATCAAGAAGAAAGAAACAGAAAGAAGCGTGGAGTAAATGGAGAGCTAGCTCTGCAAAATACCTTCATAAAGTCGTCCATGATCGCTCTAGCCCCTTTCTTTGGCTTCTCCTGTTGGAGTGCTGAGGCAGAGGTAGAGGCCCGTTCCTGTTATGGGCAGCTTCCCTAGTCTTAAGTCTTCCGGCAGGAGAGAACAGAGCGGGTTGAGTGACCGGATCGGTGACACCTCGGCGGGTAGTCTTGCGGCCATCAGACATGAAGCCACCAGGGGGGGCGCCGGTCATTGAAGGACGCGGTGGAGTATCATCATCAGCAGAGGCGGGACGCTTGCCCTTGCGAACATCTTTTGGCTCCTCCTCTCTCTTCCTTTTCAATTCTCTTGCTCTTTCGAAATGGGCATCCATTTCTACCAGTGTCAAAGAGGAAATTATGTTAGCTTGCATCTGTTAAAACAAGGTCTAATGCAAATTAACGGCATGTTTGGATTAAAATTGATGAGGAAAGGTAAAGGAAGGCTTATAGAGTAAGGGAAAGGACTTTTCATTTTGATCGAGTAAAAAAAAGTGTATTAGTTCGGGGAATTATTATTTAATAGTTTGAACTGGTATATTAAAGGTTTTATTCTACAAATTTATAAAATATTTTTAAAAAATAAAAAAAATTAATTTTATTTAAAAAATATTTTAATAAATTTATAAAACAAATTATATTTTTAATATACAAGTTAAACACATTTTTATTATTTAAGATTCATATTTTTCAAATTGAATTACACAATAAAAATACAATTCAAATATCGAAACTACCAACATATATTTTATAAAATAACATTACGAATAATTTTAATAAAAATATTTTAGTAAATTCATAAATCAAACTATAATAAAGTGTTTTTTCAAATCAAAATGTAGAAAAAATTTACAAAAATACCTATGAAATAATTATTACCCTTAATAAATTAAAACCCAAAATATTTTTCAGCATGTTCAATCTAAAAATCTATATTCCCATCAAACAAAGCTCTAACTTAAATAAAATAAAGAGTTCTTTTTAACATATGTATTTGAAAGATAGGTTAATAATATAATTATTGTATTATTAAATTTTAATTAATATTAAAAATAAAAATTAAATATTTAATTAACTATTTATTTAATTAAAATAATTACATAGTTTTAATGATAAAATTAATACTAATTTTTATATATTTTTTAATAATAATTAATGTAATATTATAATTACACCCATAACCCAACCTTTAACAAGGCAAGTTAGAAAAATTTATGAAACAAATATGCTATTTTTTTTTTTATCATGATTTCTATGAAATTTGTAAGTAAGAAAAACAGGGGAAATTTGTAAAATACAAATGGAGGATTACCCCGAGAGACCCTAGAAGGGAGCTTCGCTGTAGCAGGGAAAGCAAACGGCTTTATATCCGCCAAAACATCATCGATATCATCATCAAAGTCGTCCATGTCCGATTCCTCATCTTGAAACTCCTGGAACTCGATCTCGAAATCATCATCCGAATCGATCACCGGCTTTGAGTACCGTTTGCCCGATCCGGGTTTTGACCCAGCTGGTTTCTCCTCCAGATCCGGCCACAAATAGTCGGCGGTGATCGCCTTCTTAACCCGTTTGCACGGAATGAAGTCAGAAATTATAGCACCTACATGACGTGTTCCCCATCCCGGTTTTGAGCCAGGTTTCTTCTCCAGATCCGGCAACAGGCATTCGGTTGTCAGCATGTGCGAAATGAAGTCAGCGATTATGGCACCTCCACACATGATGCAACGTAGTGATGGTGCGAATGAAATTACTGTAAAAGATGTGTGGATTGTGGAAGAACTGAAGAGAATTTCGATCAGATTTTTGTTTATCATAGGGAACTTCAACTTTTATTTTATTGTAGTGTTTGTTGGAGCTTTTGTATTTTCCCTGTACCTTCTTATTTAAATTAAGATACGAATAATAATAAATAGAATAAAAATTTTAAATTAATAATGTA